CAAAGGTCATTCCACTTTCCTCCCTGCAGACCTCCCCAGGAAAGTAACCATGTAAATGTGATTTACGTCATCCACATTATAAAAATGTGGATTGTTGTTTTGGGTATGGCATATTTCCACTTTTTTGCTCTTTACGGGTGTGTTCCCATCCACAAACAAGTAAGCTGATTACTCTAATTTTGGAAAAACACCTTCTCTTGACTCCACTTCCTTTGACAGTTAGTCTCCCGACTTCTGTGCATTGCTTTGCATCAAGACTACTGCAAAAAGGTTATCTTGTACTCTGTAATGCCTCTCTTCCCTTTCAGCCCAAAGCACACCAATCACACTTTCACCTTCACCACTTCTTCCCAACTGTCTCCCAGGGCACCACGGAAGCCTTGGGCAACTTTCAGTCCCCATCTGCCTGGCATCTCCAGGGGCCCAGATCAGGACATGGCTCTCAGCTTCGACTCCCCTTCTTCACTTGATTTCTGTACTGCACTCTCCAGCTCTCCTCTTTAGTATGAGCTGCTCCTCCAGTCTCCTTTTGTTTCATCCTTTTCCTCCCATCCTCTTAATAATGGTCTATGCCTCAAGGCTCTGTCCTGACTCTACTATTCTCCTTCTGCATCCTCTCCCTTCTGAGTCTTGAGGCTTTAAACACTGTTTTTTGTTTTCTTTGTGCTTTAAAAAGTCCCTCCTTGCTATTATGACACAAACACATTCTACATTTTCCCCACTGGTTTACAGTCCCTTAGCTGCAAACCTTAGGACCAGAGGCATTTTGGAATTCCTTTTGCTCTAGACTTAACAAAGGTGGGGCATGTAATTCCCCTCTAACGCCTAGGACAGTATCACATAATCATATCCATTAACATTTTTAAAGCGACCCCCCCCAAAGAAATTATTTGCAGGGAAGGCTCATCAATGGATATTAGACTTTATCACTAGAACACTAAAATCACTCATTTGCTGGAGAGCAGGATATTTGCAAGTGACCAAAGAATTGCTCTTAAGTTACCTAGTAATCGTAAGGGGGGAAACGTACCTTTACAGGAGAAAGATTTGGGAGTTACCATCTTATCCAAATGATCAAACTTGAGAGAACAGATGGTAGAAAAACCTGAGGTTCATTATATGTCTCTTCATGCGATACAATATGAGATATGTAGAACTAATACTGGTATTCTAGCCAAAAATGTTGAAAACTAAACCTAATCAAGCCTGTGGACCTAACTTCCAGTTTATAAAGTCATACAGGGATAGGGAGGTAGAGAATCAGGTTAAATGACATCACAAGGAAACAATCCCACAAACACAAATGAGGGAAATTCTCTAAGTCCGTTGGCTCCTGTCTTTACAAGAAGGCCATCTCTCCTCCTCTCCTGCCTCACACACGCACATAATTCTAGATCAAGAGAAGTGAAAGAAACATTAACGAAATGTGGTATGTGAGCCTTGACTAGATCTTAGTTCAAGAAAGACATCCAAAAAATACGTATGTATTTGGTTTCTAAGGCCAAATGTGCTTCAAAATTAGATTCACTGTGAAGCCTGAGTTGAGAGGAAACAAGGTTAGGAATAAGAAAAAGACTCAGCAGTTCTCACAGCCTTCTACAGTGGAGGAAGACCCCTTCCAAAGGAAGTGACGACTGCCTGCCCCACCTCTGCCAGCACTGTGGCACTTTATAGCAAACTGTCTTGCATCATTTCTTGTGTTTGCATTTCTCACATTAGTCCGCTCCTGAAAGCAGATAACATGTCTGATTTATTTTTGTATTTTCCATAGTGACTTATAATAGGTGTTCAATAATTTTCACTAAACATTATTTCTCAATTAACTATATACAAATTATGTTCCAATGCCCAATAAGCATGTGTTAAGTGGGGAAAAACATTTTGGGGATAGATGGGAAGTCTTGATGTGGACTGGGTGGTATCTTGTGGAAGAACTGTTAATTTTTTAAAGTGTGATAATGATATTGTAATTCTATAGGAAAGTGTTCTTTTTCTTAGGAAATACCTGAGGACCTATACATAGCAGAATATACAGCTTAGTATCACAATGTTTTGCTGCTTAAGTGGTTTAGGAAAAAAAGAAAAAGAAAAAATACGTATATTCACATACATGTATAGAAAGCAAAAACAACAAAATGTTAATTCCTGTTGAGGTCAGGTATTGGATACATGAGTGGCCTCTGGAATGCCATTTTAATTTTCTGCATGTTTCAAAAATTTAAAAATAATAGCTTAAAAAAAGCAGTGAAATGTAAGATATTCACATTAAGATAAATAAATGATTATAAATAGCCTCAACTCAAGTTTTGCTGCCATGTGGGTAATGAAGACATTTTTGCTTTCAGAGCTTTCTGGACTTCATGTTTGTGGGTGAGAGGTAGTGAATCTCTATTAATCTGGTGGTGTTATTACTTCTCATTTCTGTTTTTAATTCTTCTGGAGTCTACTGTATGTAATACTACATGGAGATCCACTTTATGTTTTTTCCTCTAGTAAGCAAATTCTCCCAACACTACCCACTAAGCAATTCATCCTTCCTCGTTGATTCACTGTGCCCTTTTATAACATAGTAAGTTCAGGGGCCTATCTCTGAAGTCTTTATTTGATTCCATTTGTCTCTTGTCGCTCTCATAAAAACACAATGGCTTGGTGGCGTATAATCTGATGCAAAAAAAAAAAAAATTCTCCTTTTCTGTTCTTTCTAAATGTTGACTTACTTCAAATGAATTTAAGAATAAAAATTCTAGGGGCCTCCCTGGTGGCACAAGGGATTAAGACACAGCACTATGAAGCTACCCACAGTCACTGCAGCACAAGTTCGATCCCCAGCCAGGGAGTTACGCACAAGGTGGGACAGACCTCTCCTGGCTCACCTGCTGCTCCCCTCAGCAGTGTGTTTCAGTCAGTCTGCCTGTTCTGCTCCCCATTCTGTCTCTGGTGAATCCTCTCACCCCCCACACCTCTGGCCTGTACCCCAGTTCTTGTATGCATAAATAAATTTTTAAAAATAATAAAAATTAAAAAAAAAACAATTCTGAATTCTGAATGGGATTGTACTTGTGACAGACTGTATTTTCTAAAGCTAGCTGTACCAATAAATGTCTCATCCCACACACATTTCTTACAACATGATGTTAAGATTTCTTTATAGAGAACAGGGGTCTGTGTTCACTGGACTGACCTACTCACCTGCTCAACCAACCATGTGGCCAAGGAGACACCACATGACCTTCAAAGGTGGGCAGGAAAAGTGATTTGGTTTCCACCTGGTTCTCTCTTGGGACAAAGCCCATGGGAGCCCTGAGCTGCCACATAAGCGCAGCTACCGTAAAGGCATAATACTGGGGAGAGGAGGTGGGACGCGGGACACTTGCATAAAACAGAGATGCTCAAGGAGCTCCAGCTGCCCCAGGCCCCAATTGCTTGAATTCTCTCCCAAACAGGAAGGAGGTATGTGAATGAAAAAGTCTTTGAGATGATTCCATCCATGGCCACCATCTGACTACAACCTCAAGGACTCTGAAAGTGCCGGGGAGAGGTGCTCCCAAATTAATGGCTCACAAAACTGAGAAATAAATTTAGTGCCTCCCCAGTGGCGCAGCAGGTTGAGTGCCGCTCTGTGAAGCTGTCTGCAGCCTCTGCAGTGAGGGTTCGATTCCTGGCTGGCCAGAGGGATAACCCACATGGCGTGGCAGACCTCTCCTGTCTCTCCCCCACTCCCCTCAGCAGTGGATTTCAGTAGATCTGCCTCTTCTGCTCCCCACTCTGTCTCTGGTGAATCCTTTCACCCTCCCGTGCCTCTGGCCTGTACCTCATCTCTTGTATAAAATTTAAAAAAAAAAAAAAAAATTCTTTAAATAAATAAATAAATAACCTTGAGATAAAGATTACCATGTCTAAGCTATTAAGTTTTGGGGTAATGCCACAGTCAGTTACTGGAATAGCACTGAATTTATAAATCAATGTAAAAGGGAAAATATCATCCGTATAATATTAAATCTCATGCAAAAATATGAACTCTATTTATTTGGATCTCATATAGGAAGGTATATTTGTATATTTGTGTCTATATATGTGTTCTAGTTGATTATTGCTGGCAAAGGGAAATACAGTTGGAGATTGTTTGTATCTGATTGTATTATGTGAAATTAGGTTTCAGCTTTTCTCTTCCAATTCTTTTTTTTTTTTTAAAGATTTATTTATTTTTAAACAAGAAGCGGGGTACAGGCCAGATGCACAGGAGGGTGAGAGGATTCACCAGAGACAGAGCGGGGAACAGAACAGGCAGACTAAAGAAATACACTGCTGAGGGGAGCAGCGGGGGAGACAGGAGAGGTCTGCTTCACCATGTGGGATTATCACCGGCCGGCCAGGATTGAACCTGCACTGCAGAGGCTGTGGACAGCTTCACAGTGCGGTGCTCAACTGCCTACACCACCAGGGAGGCCCTTCCCTTCCAATTCTTGCAATTATTTTTTCCTTTCCTTAACCTGTTGGTCAAGACCACCACTACTAAGTTAAACAAAGTTTCTTCCACTGATGAAGTTTGTTATAGATTTTTGGTACATAACTTTTACCAAATTAAGGAAGTTCCTTTTATCATTATTTTATTGAGAATTGAAAATGAAATGGTACTGAAGTTATCAAACTCGTTTTCCTGATTGCAATAACTGAGGTTGTGTTTTTCCCTCCATTGGTCTGATATGATAGGTTTTCTGATGTTGAACTCTCCCTGTATATTTCAGAAATAAACCACTCATTTGAGATGTATATGTTCTCAAATATACTGTTGGACTGACTAGTTGATATCTGATTTGGAATTTTGGTAACAAAGGTGCCAGGCAGCTTTTTTATCTGCGAATCAAACATTAGTATCCACTGGTCAGTTTCTTTTATCCATAGGTCAGTTTCTTTAATTAAAAAAATAAATGAAAATTTTCCAAACTGTCATCTCTATCCCCACAATTCTAGAATGGAACAGACAAGGACTTCTGACTGACCCTCGTGCCTTTGTTTTGGCTCTCCTTTCTCGGTGCTCAACCAAGTCCATGCACACCCACTCAGTTTCTCCAGAGACGACACCTTCCAGCTGCTGCAGGGTTGGAAAGGAGGGTCACCTGAGGGCGGAGAGGCAAGCAGCTCCTTTGAAACTCTATTTTCAAGGTTAACAGATCTGGCTAATAATTTTTTTACTATCCATATGATGGGTTATTAGCCAAAATGAAAAGGTCAACTTCAGTATACTAAATTGTCCACAAATTGAATTGGGAAAAAAAAAACAACAGCAACAAATAAAGCAGTGCACGGTTAGCACTCTGGACTCTGAAATATATATATATATATAAAGCAGGTTGCAAAAAATTTGTGACGTGTGACACCCTTAGAAAACAAAGAAACCCACACATGCGTGCACAAAGCATAAGCACGGACACACCCTGGCCCCACAGAGGCACGCGGCTCCTTAACCCTCAGTCAGGGACACTGGGCCTGCAGGAGAGACGAAACCTTTTAAACACTCTGTACTGTTTGATTCGTGATCATGAACTCAAATTCCTTTCATAATTACAAGAACCAGAAAAGACTCTTATTGTTAAGTCCTCCCACCCGATAACCCTCACCCCAATGATCGCAGGATCTCAGTGCAAAGTCTGCTACTTACTAAGAAGGTGGAACGAACAGTCTGGTGCAGAGGAGTAACTGGCTGGAAAATCCCTGGGGAAGCCTGCTCCACACAGTCCTCTGAGGCAGCCCCACCCAAGGCAGCTGCACACCCCAACCAGTACTGCCCGGCTCGGGGTGGACAGAGCACCACACTGCTGGGGTAGTGGGATGAGCAGCAAAGAGCCTTTTCGGAACAATTTTGCTTTCCTGTCTCCATGTGCCCGTCTGGTTGCCACACTTAGCACATATACTACTTAATTACCAAAGCAACAGGGTCGGCGTGGTTCTGAACTCCACGAAAGGGCACTCCCTTTCTCTTTACTTGAAGGCACAAGAGGTACTGAGCTAAGAGCCTCAGGAACATGGCTCAGCTCTCATATAAGATAAGGAGGGAAATGCTTGAGCCCTCACGAACAGCAGCTTCATCAGGCCCAGGGAACTGAACACTGCAGTCCCACATAAGCGGGTCTGAAGTCAGCGCTCTGGGTAGGGGTGCTCCACGTGGCCCGTGGCGGGGCCCTCTGAGCGGCACAGGTCAGGGACTTGGGCTTCGGAGGGAGGACACACAGCGAGCCAAGGGCAGGGCTGGGTAGTCCGTCCTCCGAAAAGCCGCTTGGGCTCTTACCATGCAATACAGACCAGGTGCCAAGCACTGCGAGAATATTCACAGCAGCCAAAAAAGTCTCCATTCTCCTGCCACAGCAGCGATGAGTCTAGGGCCCAGTTAGCTTTCCCGCCTCCCTGCTGGGGAAGGGGAGGGGGAGTAGAAAGCAAGAAATGAGAACAGCAGCCTGCATTTTCAGAACCAGGCTGGCTCTGGGTTCTTTGTTTAATCTCTTAAACTTCTCTGCTGGGTGCCACTGCCGTTCTTACCTTCCTGAGGAGGAAATGAAGGCAAGGGAAGACAGCCATGTGGGACTGAAGCCCCTGTCCCAACCCAGGCGGTCTGACCACAGGACAACATGAAGAACCTGATTCTGGGGGGGAGGGAGGAGGAATAAAACCACTGGCAGTTCCTCCTTTTCAATCAAGGGCAGAACAACTGAATCCACATTAAAAAGATCAGCTAATGAAGACTCAAGGTGGAGAGAAGTTTTTAGAAATAACATTCCTATGTATGCCTCTGGGTGATCTAGAAACACAGAGGAAGAACTTTTAAGAATAGATGCTGAATTTTTACATGAATCCTACACTGGGAGGCCAACACCACTCCTCCTGCAGCCCCTGGCACAAGGGAGGAGGACACAGGGCGGTCACAGTCACGCAAAAGAGGGCCATTTGTTCCCACCTTTATTACTGACTGCAGCAACTGCTTTGTGCTGGAGTCTCCTTCCTTCTCAAGGTGACGGGAATGGATCCTTCCCCAGCCAGCCGAGCAGAGGGCCACGGATGCTGTGATCACAGCCTTTACCCTCTGACACCTGCAGAACTTCAGAGCTCACAAAGTGACTCTACCAACTTTGCCATCCTCTCAAAACCACCAGCAACATCATCTTTATTCACTTTCAAGCACAGATCAAGGTTTTCAGGCTAAAATTTACAAAATGCCACAGGGTAATTTTTCAAAGCTACATAACACACACCTGTTCGGTGCAAATGCTGAGCCCAGTAAGAGGGGGATATAGGCAAAAGCAAAACCAGGTGGAGTCTGGCTGTCTACACCCACCTCCCACCCTCTGGAATCTACCCATGGGCTCCAAGGAGGCTTCCTCAACTTCCCGGAGGCACCCTGCAGATTAGGGTCAGAAGACAGCCTTTGCTGAGTGTGGCTGCCAGCCTGGCATGGTGTGGAGTTACAGCCAGGCACCACAGGAGAGGTGAAAATCTGTGCATTCCCATTAAGGGTCTTTCTCTAGCCACTCTGTGAGTCTAGACAATTCTTATCATTGCTGAGTGTCTTTTTTTATTTATTTATTTTTTTATTAATGCATACAAGAACTGGGGTGTAGACCAGAGGTGCAGGGGATGAGAGGATTCACCAGAGACAGAGTGGGGAACAGAACAGGCAGATCTACTGAAATACACTGCTGAGGGGAGCAGTGGGTGAGACAGGAGAGGTCTGCTGTGCCATGTGGGTAGCTCCCTGGCCAGGGATCAAACTTAGGCTTAATCAGGCTGAACTCAGGTCACAGTGGCTGGCGATAGCTTGATAGTGTTGAGACTTAACCCCTGCGCCACCAGGGAGGCCCCTGAGTCTTTATTTTTTCACCTGTAAAGTGAGGAGACTGGTTTGTACCTCAAAGATGCCTTCTAAGACTAAGACTTTAAAGATTTAAAGTTAGGGTTATCATGGTATTGCTCCCCTACCAAGCATCCCCTTGAATTCAGAGAGAACCCTGGGGTTTTCCACTTCTGAAAAAAGGTTCCTTGGTAAGAACCTTTGGTTCTTTGGTAAGAACCTTGGAAAGGAGTTGGAAGGCCTCACACCTGGTAAACAGGTGAAGACATGGTCATAACTGATACCCCATTTAAAAAAAAAAGGCCTCTGGAAAAGGCAAGGAGTTGCGTGCTCCACAAACAGACCGTTACACTTCAGATGATGCTTCCTCATTCCACTCCTCTGAGGTCTCTCCTTGGAAAACTGTAGAGCCAGCCCTCCATAACTTACAGGGACCCAAAGGAGAAAGATTCTCATAAATAGATTAACACCTGAAAAGTACACGGTCACACTTATCTTGCCACAAGTGCCAGAAGGAGAGACTGATTCGGGAGCGAGTGAGCTCCTGCAAGGCCCAGTGCACACCCTCCCCAGGAGTATGGATGCAGCATGACCTCGGGCGGGTGAGGCGGCCAAAGCCAGGAAGAGGGACAGACATCTTCCATATTCGCACTCTCAGCTCTTTTAATCAACTCTTTCTGATAAATCATTTATATCACTCCAGCAATTCTCAACTTCAGCAGAAACTCAAAGCTTTGGTGACAGTCACTAGAGGTAAAAAGGTCTCCAGCTGCCTTCAGGGATGCCTGGGTTATACAGAGGGAGGGAGCAGTACAGTAACCTCCCTACTCCCCAGCCTTAGGAGATAGGTTCCAAGACCCCCAGCAGATGCCTGAAACTTCAGATAGTATCAAATCCTATATAGACACGGTTTTTTAGCATAAAAAAACCTACACATATTTAGCATAAAGCATTATTTGCAAACTTGGCACAAAAATAATGAATAATAGGACAATTTTAATGATATACTGTCATAAAAGTTATATCAATGTACACTCTCTTTCAAAATATCTCACTGAGCATAATATCTGTTACCATGGTTGACTGTGGGTAACTGAAGCGGCAGGACTAGAAATAAGAATAAGGGGGAGGGGGACCACTGCATTTCCCATCTAACTAAGAAATTCATTTTGTGAGGAGACATGGGGTTCCCAGCCTCCCGGGGTTGTCCGAAATGGTGTTCCCAATGGGACAACCACAATGGGATGCCCTTAAACAAATCAGGTTCGAGGCATGTCATCAGAAATGAGATAGAACAGGTCTGTCAAAGCAGGTTCTTTAAACTGTCTTGAGTCCTTTGAAGTTACTAAACAGCCAGCCGTTTGCTTAGATCCTTCCAAGCAACCTAAAGTGATACTTTGTCAAGTCAAAAATAAGATCCAATTTTGAGTTTCTCTCACAGACTGACTGGAGGGAAATATGATACAAACCAGCATTTCCACTGTCAGGCCATAGGGAGTGGGTGCCTCTCACGCTACTACTGAGCTTAGGCCAATTTCCATTAACAGCCCTTGGTCAGGCCAGATGCTGCTAGAAAGCTGATTCCTCAAATTAACACTTTAAACCAAGTTGGTGGTGAGATGATTAATTCTGTTAAGAAACCTGATAGAGTGAAAGTTCTACTGAGGTTCAGGGAATGATTGAGAAGTCCCACACTTGCCAAGTTCTCTTCTCTGGGTTCACTGCTGACTAACCTTGCCAGCAAGAACATCAGGGTTCAATGCAGAGTCTGAACTCATTGTGTCCCCGGAAGGGAAGTCATCACCTGTTGGCCTTGTTGAGATCTTCTGGCCTCATTTTCTCAGCATCCTCCCCATGCAGTTAAGAAACCCCAGGCCTTCACAGGAGAAGAAATGAAGAGATGAGATGACAGCTGTCATTACTCGCCCCGCCCCCTCAAATCAAGGGTGCAACCAAGGTTAGAACCCAGGTTTCTGGTCTCCTAAACTCTCCTTTTGAGAGTACCCAACTCCTGCCAAGGGCAAAGTCTGACTGCCCAAACCTAGAAAAATGCCTATCTCCTTGGTCTTTGCAAATGCAAGTCTAAGTCCTGAGTTTTCTGCAATTGACAGAAGATCCTCATAGCTTGGACTGGACCAATAAGAAAGAGAAAACAGGCCCAAAATGGAGTCATTTGTGCTAAGCCCCATGCCACCAAAACTGGGACTGAAAATACCTAATCTAATTATAGTTATGGCTTCTCCCAGGAATGTAACCTTACACCAACCAATCTGTGAT